CCTTAAGGAACAAAAGCACTTTTTGCCTTAAGGAACAAAAGCAGTACAGTGGAGTGGGGGTAACCTTTTCAATAAATAGCGCTGGAGTAAATCAGACAACCATAGGCAATCAAGGAACCTCAACCTAAACCTCTCACCTTATACAAAAATTAAAACAGAACTCAAAATGGATTATGGACTTAAATGTAAAACAGTAAAACTTCCAGAAAAAAACACGAGAAAATCTTCAGGACCCAGCACTAAGCAGAGTTCTTAGACAACACCAAAAACCTGATCCATTAAAAAAAAAAAAAAAAAAAGATAATTTGGGCCTTATCAAAATAAAAAAACTTAGGCCGGGTGTGGTGGCTCATGCCTGTAATCCCAGCACTTTGGGAGGCCAAGGCAGAAGGATCACTTTAGCCCAGGAGTTTGAGACCAGCCCGGCCAACATGGCGAAACCCTGTCTCTACTAAAAATACAAAAACTAGCTGGGAGGGTTGTGTGTACCTGTAATCCCAGCTTCATGGGAAGTTGAGGCATGAGAATCGCTTGAACCTGGGAGGCAGCAGTTGCAGTGAGCTGAGATGGCACCACTGTACTCCAGCCTGGGCAACAGAGCAAGATTCCGTCTCAAAAAAAAAAAAAAATGCATAAAAATAAAGAATAAAATAAAAAACTTTTGTTCTGTGAAAGACCCTGTAAAAAAGACAAACTAAAGGCTGGGAGGAAACATTTGCAAATCGCATATTTGACAAAGGACTTGTATTTAGAACGTCCAGAGAACTCTCAGACACTGAACACCATTGCATCCAATTAGAAGACGCACAAAAGACACGCACGGGCACTTCACTGAAGAGGATACAGGATTGGCAAATAAGGCGTGAAAAGGTGTTCAACATCCTTAGCCATTAGGAACATGCGCATTAAAATCACAGTGCGATATCGCTGCACACCTATCAAAATAGCTAAAATGAGAAACAGTGACAATGCCAAATGTGAGGATGTGGAGACCCGGATCACTCACACTCTGCTGGTGGGAATGTAAAATGATACAGACACTCTGGAAAACAGTTTGGCAGTTCCTTTTCAAACTAAAAATGGACTTACCATACGGTAAGCAATTGTACTCCTGGGCATTTATCCCAGAGAAATGAAAACTTATTTTCATGCAGAAACCTGTATGCCTGAATGTACATGTTCACCACATGAATATTTATAATAGCCAAAACTCGGAAACTACCCAAATGTCTTTCTTTTTAAATTTTTTTAAAAATATATTTTTAATATTTTACAAAACTTTATTTCAACCCAGGAGCATAGATTCAAAGTGTCCTGAATATGCACTCCCCCAAATGTCTTTTGATGGGTGAGTGGTTAAACTGTGGTATAGGGTGAGTGGTTAAACTGTGGTATATCCAGACCACGGAATAAACAGCATAATGAATGAACTAGAGACTCGCGATAACGTGGATGAACCTTAAGGATATTCTGCTGAGTGAAAAAGACAACCTCTGAAGCATACATGCATCCAATTTCTTTTATCTAACATTCATCATGAAATAACAACAATTAAAGAAGACAGGCTGGGTGCGGTGGCTCATGCCTGTAATCCTAGCACTTTGGGACGTCCAGGTGGGAGGATGGCTTGAGGCAAGGACTTCAAGACCAGTCTTGGCAACACAGTGAGACCTTGTCTCTATGAAAGGAAAGAAAAATTGGCTGGGTGTGGTGGTGCATGCCTGCAGTCCTAGCTACTTGCAAGGCTGAGATGAGAGGACTGCTTGTGCCCAGGAGAGTGAGGCTTCAGTGAGCTATGATCGTGCCATTGCACTCCAGCCTGGCTGACAGAGTGAGACTGTGTCTCCAAAAAAAAAAAAAAAAAAAAAAAAAAGAGCCTCAGAACAGATGAATGGCGAATGCCAGGGGTTAGGCATAGGGGGAGGAGATGGGTGTGGCTATAAAAGGATAGCATGAGGCACCCGTGATGGTTACACAAGACTTCACGTGTGATAAAATTGCGCAGAGCTACAGACACACACACACAAATGAGTGCATGCATAACTGGTGAATTCCGAATAAGCTGTAGGCCTGTACCCATGTCAACCTCCTGCTTTGATATTGCGTTATAACCATACAAGATGTTAACAATAGGGGAGGCTGCGTGAAGGGTTCAGGCTCACAAGACTTTCTCCCTGTATTTTTTTTTTTTTTTTTTGAGATGGAGTTTTTGCTCTTGTTGCCCAGGCTAGAGTGCAGTGGCACAATCTTGGCTCACTGCAACCTCCACCTAGCGGGTTCAAGCGATTCTCTTGCCTCAGTTTCCTGAGTAGCTGGGATTACTGGCGCGTGTCACCACACCCAACTAATTTTTTTCTATTTTTAGTAGACACGGGGTTTCATCATGTTGGCCAGGCTGGTCTTGAACTCCTGACCTCAGATGATCCACCCGCCTTGGCCTCCCAAAGGGCAGGGATTACAGGCATGAGCCACTGTGCCCGGCCACCTGTATGTTTTTTTTTTGGTAACTTCCTGTGACTCAATAATTATTACAAAATAAAAAGTTAAAAGAAAATATAAAGGGAGATACCAAGATTTTAGGGGGGAAAAAAACAAAAAACAAAACAGTTCCCAAGAGCTTTCGGTAACACCACTGCCACCACCTTTGTTACTGGCAAGTTGCTCTAACTGCCATTTCCAACCTCAGCCCCTGCTGTCACCTGGGTGCCCCCACACCTCGTGTCCCACACACACCAGATTCCTCTCTGATTCTCCCGTGTTTTACAGCGTCCTGTTTGTTCATGTCTATGGCCTTTGCTCTGTTTGGAATGACTTTTTCTCTCCTCTCTGTGGCAAACTCCTATTAGTTCCTCAAAATATTGTTCAGATGTCACCTCCTCCAGGCAGCCAGCCTAGACTTCCAGGGCTGGGCTGTGTTCCCTCTTCCTCTATTAGAGTGCTCATCAGAGTGCACGTGGTTTTTACCATCCTTTCCATCACGATCAGCAAGGGCTGACTACAGAACCCCCTCGTGACTGAGTATCTCAGATATTCCTCCTGGCACGCCAGAAAGCTCTTGAGACCTTTGCTGAATGAAAGCTGAACGGTGTGGCTACTAGAAGAAGAAACAGTGGGTATGTCTCCCCAGTTGAACAAGAGGCTCAGAATCTAACAATGGATGAGTGTGGCGAGACTCTCAGAGAATGGTCCCTGGTGCAGCACCCCGAACCTACCAGGTCAGAAATTCGGGGCTCAGGCCCAGTAATCTGTATTTTAACAAGTCCTCCTCTGGATGATTCCAATGCCTGCTAAAGACTGAGAACCACTGGTTTGGTGGCCTGATTCCTTGTCTTAAGGTAGGTGGTTTCATTTTTAACAAACCCGCTCACTCCATCCTTTCGTCCAATATATACCAAAGATCAGCCATGTGTCGAACTCTGTACTATGTGATGGGAGGTCTTGAAGAGCACGCTTACGCTCTCTTTCTCGCTCTCTTACAGGTGCATACACATGCACTTACGCAAGCACGCACACTCTTAGCTGGCTAATAAAGATGGAGAGTGCTCAAGGCCATGGTCAGGAAATACACAGGGAATTGGGGGGCAGTGCCTTGCCTCAAGAGGGAGCTCCAGAGAAGCGTTCTGGAGAGGGACACAGAAGCTCGAGTTGGTAGGACAGGGGGAGTGTGGGTGAGGAGTGTGAAGCACACTCAGGCCAAGGAAGGAACACCATCAAGGCTCTGAAATGCAGACAGTCCCCCTAGGAAGCTGGGAGTGGCTGGTGTGGCTGACGTGTGGCACTGCACAAGACTCGCAGGGTGCCAGGGGCCTTGGTGGCCACAGGGAGGGGCCAAAGCTGTGTCCTGAGGGCTCTGGGAGTGGTGAGAGGGTTTGGAGCAGGGGACAGGCATGTTCAGATATAGAAAGATCTGGCCAGGCACGGGGGCTCACACTTGTAATCCCAGCACTTTGCGAAGCTGAGGCGGGTGGATCACCTGAGGTCAGGAGTTTGAGACCAGTCTGGCCAACATGGTGAAACTCCGTCTCTATAAAAATACAAATATTAGCTGGGTGTGGTGGCAGGAGCCTGTAGTCCCAGCTACTCAGGGGGCTGAGGCAGGAGAATCACTTGAACCTGGGAGGCAGAGGTTGCTGTCAGCTAAGATCATGCCACTGTACTCTAGCCTGGGCAACAGAGCAGTCTCAAAAAAGAAAAGGAAAAAAAAAAAAAAAAAAAAAAGACACAGAAAGATCCCTCTGGCTGTTAAGTGGAGGGTAGACCAGAGGAGGTGAGATGAAGGCTGGAAGCCCACTGTGGTGGCCTGGGCAAGAAAGCAGGGAAAGGAGGCGGGATGGGTGACAGAGATGCTCAGAAGGAAGACCACTGCAGGGAGAAGGAGGAAGGGGACATCCACAGGATGAGGCCCATGGCTCAGGCCCAAGGACTGGGATTGATGTGGCTGCCCCAGGGACCTGGGGGCGGAGGAAGAACAGAGGGCACGAGGGCTGAAGGCAGCTGGGGAATAAGCTCAGCAGGAGCCAGAACCTGAAGGGCCTTGGATGCCAAGTTTATCCTGAGGACACTGGGGAGTCATGGAGGGTTTGGGGAGATCTCTCAGGCTGCCAGGTTGCAGATGGACACAAGTGGGCAGAACTGAAGCCTGAAAGATCTTGAAAACTGGGTAATGCTGGCAGCCGGGTCCTAGGGACTTGGGGCTGGAGAGAGTTAGATGAGTGGCCGTGCTGGATGGTGGACGCTCTTCCTCGACAGGTGTCAAGAGAACAGCAACCACAATTCTGCTGCAAGGAAAGCCAACGATGGGTCCTGCCCAGCCCAGCCCAGTTTCGCTCCAAAACATGAGACATAACCACCCCATGGGGCTGGGTCCTCTGAGGACCTTCAGGGGTCCAGAAACACCATAAAATGGCAAATAGAATTGTGGGGGTGTGCATTTCCTGGGGAAGAAGGAGTCACAGTTTTCATCAGATCCCTTAACATGAAAAGAATGGAGAGAGGCTGACCTTTCTGGGGATGGCTTGTATCTCACGTAGGTGGCCGAGCCGGGGGTGGAGAAGCTCCCAGAAGGCTGTCGGTAGGGAGGGACTCTGTCGGCCCCTGCTGGTGATACTGTGTAAGGGGTTTCTGGGAAGCTGACAGGCCTGGAAGGAGACAAGGGGAGGAAGGAGGCAGAGGGTGAGTGGGAGGGTACCCCTGCCCTGGGAGGATGGACAGACAGATGGACGGACGGACGGACGGACAGACAGACCTTTCCCCTGCCCAGCCACATTCCTTCTGCTGTCCACTGCTCAGGATGAAGGGGAGGATGCTGAGCACAGGGTGAGAGAAGCTGGGATGCCCCTGGGTCCCCTCTTCCTGGATCCACTGCGGCTGCCCCCAACCCACAGCTTTTGCAGGCTGCCCAAGACTGTTCTCGCCTCTGGCCCCCCGGGGACGAGATGTCCCTCTGCAAATTGGATTCCTTCATTTTTTTGGACAATTTTCTTTTTATCTTTTAGTATATATCTTCAAAAGAGTATCTATAAGTTATATGTGTCATAAAACGAACTCCCTTAAGGTACCACCCAACCCGGGACTAGAACGGCGGTGATAACATCTATCTGTGGGTTTCCCCACTTCCATTTCCCTGCCTCCTCCAGGAAGAAATCACTGTCCTAAATTTTGTGCTTATCAGTCCCTTCACCTTAAAAATAACAGAGTTTTTTTTTTTTTTGAGACAGAGTCTCGCTCTGTCACCCGTGCTGGAGTGCAGTGGCTGGATCTCAGCTCACTGCAAGCTCCGCTTCCCGGGTTTACGCCATTCTCCTGCCTCAGCCTCCCGAGTAGCTGGGACTACAGGCGCCCGCCACTTCACCCGGCTAGTTTTTCGTATTTTTTAGTAGAGACGGGGTTTCACCGTGTTAGCCAGGATGGTCTCGATCTCCTGACCTCGTGATCCGCCCATCTTGGCCTCCCAAAGTGCTGGGATTACAGGCTTGAGCCACTGCGCCCGGCTTTTTTTTTTTTTCAGAGATGAGCCACTGCGCCCGGCTTTTTTTTTGTTTTTCCCAGAGATGAGGTATTGCTCAGTCTGGGGTGCAGTGGTGCAATCACAGCTCACTGCAGCCTCCAACTCCTGGGCTCAAGCCATCCTCCCACCTCAGCCTCTTGGGTGGCTGGGACCACAGGTGTGCATCACGCCTGGCTAATTTTTAATAAATGTTTTTATAGAGTCAGGGTTCTGCTATGTTGCCCAAGCTCTCTAACTCCTGCCCTCAAGTAATGCTCCTGCCTTGACCTCCCACAATGTTGGAATTGCAGGCATAAGCCACTGTACCCAGCATAAAAAAAGCAGAGCTTTAATCGTCTACTCAGTATAGTGAATTTCTAACTCAGATGCTGAGCTCCCCAGCACTGGGTCCCAAACAAGAGGCCCACGGTGAAAGCTGAAGGGAAGGAGGGAGGGAGGAACAAGGGAGACAGAAGGATAAGAAGGAAGGTTGAAAGCCTGAGGCGATGCAGCGGATGGAGGAAATAGTGCAGAGAGGGAGGGGCGGGGGACAGGTGTGGGCCGGTGGGGATTGGGAAGTGTTTGCCCCCCCGCAGGTGCTTACCTCTTGCTGTGCAGTGGCTGGGACTCCCGGAAGGGGACTATGGGGGTCTGCTTCGGGGGCCGGCTCAGGGACTGGGCATGGCCGGGGGTGGTTGGAGTGGCCCACTTGGAGGCTGGTAGAGAGTTATGGGATGCGGGCCCGCTCCACTGCCAGGGAGCATTGCTGCGGTATGGGGGCCGGCCCCCAGGAGTGATGCTTTCCTGCTCCGTCTTGGGCTCCGAGGTATTCATGTCATAGGTCTCCGGCCAACCCCTGGGGAGCAAAACTGCGTTATTCAGAAAGACCCCAGCCTACCAACATGTGGGCCTGCTGTCTAGGCTGGGTTCTCCTGGCCCAATGCAAACCGGGATGGCCTTTTCTTTTTTTTTTTTTTGAGACAGAATCTTGCTCTGTCACCCAGGCTGGAGTACAGTGGCACGACCTTGGCTCACTGCAACCTCTGCCTCCCGAGTTCAAGCGGGTTCTGGCTAATTTTTGTATTTTTAGTAGAGAAAGAGTTTCATCATGTTGGCCAGGCTGGTCTTGAACTCCTGACCTCAGGTGATCCGCCTGCCTCGGCCTCCCAAAGTGCTGGGATTACAGGAGTGAGCCACTGCGCCTGGCTGGGGATGGTCTATTTTAAAAGTCGAGTGAATACCCGTTAAAATGGTCTGAAACTTACCAGCTCAGAGTCTTCAACCAGGATGGGACCCAACACAGGGGCTCCGACTGCTTGGCCCTTTCCACCTCATCTCCTCTCCCCTCCTCCCACTCTCTCTGTTCCCTCCCCTCGCTTCTACCTGACCCAGACCACACGGCTGCCAGTGTCCTCCATGGACCTGCCTGGCCCCCCTTAGCAGTCCTCAGGGCCAGAAAGGCAGATGTCCTCAGAATCAAAGGACAGTAACTGCCTTGTTCCAAAGAATCTTAAAGGCAGCTGGAAGAGGAGCAGGTGACCTACTTTGCAGGGTGGTTTAAAAAAAAAAAAAAAAAAGCCCTGAAATCCACAACCTTGAAATAGATGCAGAGAGGCCTATGACTCCTGCTAGACCAGGCTGGCACATGCACCGCGGTGCTCCTGCCTTGAGGTAGGGAGATCCGCCGGCTAGGCTGGCATTCTTCACTGCCACTGCAGTGCCACACGGGAGGGGTCCCTGAGCTGTGCTCATGAAATCCACCTTCCGGCAGCTGTGAGAGCTGAGCTCAGAGGAGCCTTCAGCCTGGAAGCTCCCATGCAGCCATCAAGCTGATCCTCTGAGGGTCTCCCGAGTTCCCTGGAGCCACCCAGTTCATGGCCATCCAGCAAAAGGTCTGGTGGATATGGTGGTTTGGAGGCTGCTATGGTCTGGATGTGGGTTCCCCCAAAAGTCATGTGATGGAAACTTAACCCCCAATGCCACTGTTGGGAGGTGGGGCCTGGTGGGAGGAGCTTAGGGCAGAGCCCTCATGAATGGATGAATGCTGCTATAGAAAGGGCTTGCAGGAGTGGGCTCTCTCTCTCCCGTTCTTCTGCTGTGTTTGGACATGGCATTCCTGTCCTCCAGAGGTCACAGGGTTCAAGGCACCATCGTGGAAGCAGAAAGACCAGGCCCTATCCTGCCAGTGCCTGGATCTTGAACCTGCAGCCCCCAGAACTGTGAGAAATGTATTTCTGTTATCAGTTACCCAATCTCATGTACTCTGTCACAGCTGCACAAAACAGACTAAGACACAGGTGGATGCACTCTGGCACCCAGGGCCTGACACACCGCACCCCTCAGTAGCACCATGGCTGGAACTGACCCTCGGCAGTATCTGCTGGCTGTCTCTTTGGATTGGCAGCTGCCAATGTCACACCAGGCACCAGGTGAGGAACAATATGAATGTCTAACAGAGCCTGTAGACACACCAGGCCTGGGCAGAGGTGGGGACAGGTACCATCACTGTCTCTGGGCAGTGCACACCTGCCATTCCTGCCTGCCTGGTGTCTCTCCCCTTACCCCCTCTCCTGATAACAGGTCTTTGTTAATATGGGCTCTGGGTGGGGCTGACCCCACTTCTTGGCTCCAGGTATGAGCATGTGACCCAGGTCTGACCAATCAGAAGTTTTCTCCAAGTCCCTACCCCAACACGATGACTAGCACAGAATTGTCCCGTGCTCTAGGTAGGGCCAACGAGAGATAACGAGCATCAGTTGTTTGTTCTTTTTGAGATGGAGTCTTGCTCTGTCACCAGGCTGAAGTGCAATGGTGAGATCTCGGCTCACTGCAACGATTCCTGTGCCTTAGCCTCCTGAGTAGCTAGGACTACAGGCACGTGCCACCACACCCAATTAATTTTTGTATTTTTAGTAGAAATGGCATTCGACACCCAGGCTGGTGTCGAACACCTGACTTCAAGTAATCCATCTTCCTTGGCCTCCCAAAGTGCTGGGATTACAGGCATGAGCCACCACACTAAGTCCTTTTTTTTTTTTTTGAGATAGAGGTGGGTGGATCACCTGAGGTCAGGAGTTCAAGACCAGCCTGGCCAACATGGTGAAACCCCATCTCTACTAAAAATACAAAAATTAGCCAGGCATGGTGGCATGTGCCTATAATCCCAGCTACTAGGGAGGCTGAGGCAGGAGAATCGCTTGAACCTGGGAGGTGGAGGTTGCAGTGAGCCAAGATCATGCCACTGTGCTCCAGCCTGGACAACAGAGCAAGACTCCATCTCAAAAAAAGAAAAAAAAAAAAAATGAAGGCAGCATGCAGCATGGAGCAGTACAGGCTGCGGGGCCAGATGGCTGGTTCGGATTCTAGCCCCGTTATCACCTATATGGGTTTGGGTGAGGAATTCTCTTTTCAGAGCCCCAGTTTCCTAATCTGTAAGATGGGGCTGGCTGTGAGCATTCTCTGAGCGTTAGCAGAGTCTGCACGTGCCAAGTGCTTAACAAATCAGAGCTGATGCGGTTGCCTACTCCGGCTGATTCTAAGGACAGTCTGCCTGCTTTTCCCACAAACAGAAGCAAAAGCCTCGCTTCCACTTTCTGAAATCCAGCCAAACCACCTTGGGGCTCTGGAAAAGATTCTGCCCCAGCTCCTCCCGGCTCTCGCCCTCCCCAGTGACCTGAAAATGACCATCATCTAAATCATCAAGAGCTCAGCAAATAATGAAGCTTCCTGGGCCTTACCCCAGATTACATGTAACAGAATCCCCACTGAGGCAGGGCCCAAGGATCTGCATTTGACTGAGCTGCCTGTGATGATGTTGATACACAGTAACATTTGAGAAGGCCTGCTTCATGTATTGATTAAAAAAAGATTTTTTTTTGAGATGAAGTCTTGCTCTGTCACCCTTGTTGGTGTGCAGTGGCGCGGTCTTGGCTCACTGCAATCTCCACCTCCCGGGTTCAAGTGATTCTCCTGCCTCAGCCTCCTGAGTAGCTGGGATTACAGGCCCGCCACCACGCCCGGCTGATTTTTGTATTTTTAGTAAGACACTGGATTTCACCATGTTGTCTAGGCTGGTCTCGAACTCCTCATCTCAGGTGATCCACCTGCCTCGGCCTCCCAAAGTGTTGGGATTACAGGCATGAGCCACCACGGTGGACCCTTGAATTGTTTTTAAGGATTAAAATGACATAAGACGCATCCCTGTTTCCCACTCCCATCCTCCAGTTTCAACTACCAGAAGCAACCACTGCTCCCAGTTTCTTACGCATTCTTTCAGAAATACCTTATGCAGGAAAGCAAAATATTATTTAAAATAGTAACGAAGTCCAGGCACAGTGGCTCATGCCTATAATCCTAGTACTTTGGGAGGCTAGGGTGGAAGGATTACTTGAGCCTAGGAGTTCGTGACCAGCCTAAGCAACATAGGGAAGTCCTGTCTCTACAAAAAAATTCTAAAAAATTATCTGGGCATGGTGGCACATGCCTATGGTCCCAGCTACTTGGGAGACAGAGGAGGGAGGATCACTTGAGCCTGGCAGGTAAAGGATGCAGTGAGCCATGATCACACCACTGCATTCTAGCCTGGGCAACAGAGTGAGACTATCTCAAAAAAACTAAATAGGCCGGGCGCGGTGGCTCACGCCTGTAATCCCAGCACTTTGGAAGTCAGAGATGGGCGGATCACGAGGTCAGGAGATTGAGCCCATCCTGGCTAAAACGGTGAAACCCCGTGTCTACTAAAAATACAAAAAAAAATTAGCCAGCCATGGTAGCAGGCGCCTGTAATCCCAGCTACATGGAAGGCTGAGACAGGAGAACGGCGTGAACCCGGGGGGCGGAGTTTGCAGTGAGCTGAGATTGCGCCACTGCACTCCAGCCTGGGCGACAGAGTGAGACTCCGTCTCAAAAAAAAAAAATAAAAATAAAAAAATAAAATAAAATAGTAATACAAAGACTAGCGCGTTATACCTCTGTATGGTATCTTGCTTTTTTTTTTTTCTATTCCCAATTAACAATATATTGGCCGGGTGCAGGGGCTGATGGCTGTAATCCCAGCACTTGGGGAGGCTGAGGCAGGTGGATCGCTTGAGGTCTAGAGTTTGAGACCAGCCTGGCCAACATGGAGAAATACCATCTCTACTAAAATACAAAAATTAGTTGGGTATGGTGGTGGACTTTTGTAATCCCAGCCAGTTGGGAGGTTGAGGCAGGAGAATTGCTTGAACCCGGGAGATGGCGGTTGCAGTGAGCTGAAATCGCACCACTGCACTCCAGCCTGGGCAAGGAGAGTGAAACTTCGTGTAAAAAAAAGAAGAAAAACGGCCGGACGCGGTGGCTCAAGCCTGTAATCCCAGCACTTTGGGAGGCCGAGATGGGCGGATCACGAGGTCAGGAGATGGAGACCATCCTGGCTAACCCAGTGAAACCCCGTCTCTACTAAAAAATACAAAAAACTAGCCGGGCGAGGTGGCGGGCGCCTGTAGTCCCAGCTACTTGGGAGGCTGAGGCGGGAGAATGGCATAAACCCAGGAGGCGGAGCTTGCAGTGAGCTGAGATTGATTGTGCCACTGCACTCCAGCCTGGGTGACAAAGCGAGACTCCGTCTCAAAAAAAAAAAAAAAGAAGAAAAACAAAAGAAAAACAAAACAAAACATAACAAACAAAACTTCAGCCTTGTGGCCCGGGGATAGGAGGAAGACACTGTGTATTCTCCTCGGTGTCTGAGAGGGAGAGCATGGGGTTGGCGTGCAAGCCATGCAGCCTGGCTGGTGGCAGTGATGGCACTTCTGTCCCGTCCTCGCTGCTCCCCTCAGCGTTCACTGCAACAGACATTTGAGCCAAGAGGCTGGAGAGAGC